AGAGGCAGTTAAAAAAAAATAAAAAGAGTGGGTAATAAGGGTACACACATGCAACAAGACAGATGCGAGCCGTAATTGCTAACTCACTGAAAAGGAAAGAGATAGCGTGTTGCGGTGGAGCTCCCCCATTTGTATCGCAGTGGTTCAGTTGCAATCGTGAGCAGAGGGGAGTCCGAGGGGGGAGAACAAACACCCCCGCGAAGCGGAGAGGCTGCGATACCCAGCCAGATCCTTCTCCCAGCTACTTATGCACGCACTTTTTAATTAACGGTACTGCAGCTGGGTTGAAGGTACATTTCTAATAACTGTCATCGTGACTGTCTACAGAGCAGGGGTTCCAAAAACATTTTAGCAAATAAAAATCAAAAGCAGACGCACCTGAAAAAGCTACTGATGGTTACTTTACCAAGCTCTCTTACCTTTAAAATGCTATTGCCTTGCTCTGACCTATTGAATCCATTTTTGAACCCATTTAAACCAATTTTAAGACTTCTTCCTTTTCCAGTTCTAATCCCCCAGACCTGGGGAGTTTGTAAGAGAAGTGATGATAAAAGTTCTTATCCACATGACTGTGCACTCAGCCATCACGGAATCAGCACATTAGGAGGTGGAAAAAATTCCTACCAGCTGAGAGGAAAGGCAGGGTAAGAAAATCCTGTGGTTCACCCTGAGTCTTCTTAATTCTGGATGCTGTGGGCTGGCAAGCAACGGAAAAGGCTTTTTGGGAGACCGTAGGAAGCCTGTGGCCACGGGGATTTCGGGATGCCCTGGGGCAGGAGGCTCACCCGGGCCAGGGAGCAACGCGGCCCCGCCAGGCACGAGCTCCCAACACGGCAGCGACAGGAAAGGAGATCCCCTAAGCTTGAAAGATCCATTTTCATTAGGAGGGACTTGAAAGCCTGAAGCATTCATCAAGCTATTTTAATTAAAGAAATAATTTCCTTTTGTACACTCTGTTTAACATCTTTCTAGCAAAATGTAAGTGGGAAGATCATTGAACAGAAAACACGATTTTCCTTTTAAGAGGAATTAACAACCGTTCTGTATTTATTCACATTTTATTTTCCTGCAGTTGGTTATCCAAATCATTTAAACTCCCTGCATTCACAGTGGTCAGCTGGTGCTTGACTCACTTCATCTATCACTTTCTTTTTGTACTGGGAACAAATCATCGGACAAAGAAATTTCATTGAAATCTTTCTTTGCACAATCACTGCAGCGAGTTTCTTAAAGCTCTGATTTTTTTCTCTCACTCCATAAACATTCTCTAGGTGCCTGGTTACCACTCAAGTAGCACAAAAAATCCCAGTCTTTACTTCTTAAATACCTTATCTTTTGCTGCCTATGGAGAACAGAATCTCACTGCCTCTCAAATTATTTTTGTTCCAATACAAACTCTGGAAGCGTCACAGCAATCCTAGTTGTTTCTTAAATTTCCCAGTGGATTTTTTCTTTACTTGTCCCATGAATTGGCCACATCTCTGTTTCCTCTGCTTTGCGGTGTTAAATGGTACAAAAATTTAGACAGAAAGTGTGCTGAAAACTGAAAATAAGTATTTCTTCATATCCTCAAATTTGTCATTAGTTTTGAAAGGAGGAAAAAAGAGGCTAGTCTTGTTCATGCTGGTCACTTAAAAACCTGTTTTGCATCAGCGGCTAAAATTTCATCTCAGAAACACAGGATCATATTTCCAAAGCAAAAGAATAAGATATTTTACCCTCCAAAAATCTTGCCGTTCCTTGCATTATATCCCCACGAAGTGATGCATCACAGCTGAAACCAAGATGATTAAAATTCCTGCTAGAGTTCACCCCAGTCAAAATTACTGACACGTCGTTATCTGCTTGATGAGCGTGAGCAGAGCATATAAAGCACAGCCCCACCAAGCAAAAGCAAAGACCAGAGCGGCAATGAAGTTCCTTAAATACAGCTCTGGAGGTCACGTCAGGTCAAGTCACGAGCAAAGGGCACTGGTGATAAACGGGGCTTTTCCTCCACTTCCCACTGCCAGTCCCACCAGTGGGCACTGGGGCATCCACCACTCTGGGAGAGGTTTTGGTGGCCCCTCTTCCAGCAATGCCTCCCAGCACTGTCGAACTGGAGCTTAACGAATTTGAGGAGCAAGCGAGAAAAAGTCACAGAAGTTTCTTCTTCTGGAGGCAAAACCAAAAATGTTTTCCCAAATCGGTGATGCATCAGTGAAATATGTAACCTCCAAATTTTTCAGTCGGGCATGCCCTTGCCCCCCTCATTCCTGTCCCACGGGTCAGTCTGGTGTTGGGGTGCACGTCTCTGTAACCCACTACGGTCTCTTCCAGGCTCTGAGGGCTGAGCAAGGCACAGCAGAGTGTTCAGCCCCGGGTAACTCCGGTAAGTCCCATCATTTATCTGATAATGTCAGCTTTAGAAGTGACAAAGCTTGGGTTTAGGTGTTCTTATACTATTTAGCACTCCTCTTAGACAGCTTGGGAGGAATCCTACAGGATTGGAAAACGTTTAGGTAGAAAAATTCAGCATCTTTGAGTATTCATTTGCCTTAACAAAGAAAATACAAATTGCTGGGGATTATCCGTACCACACATCTTCCCAGTATCTTTGATTCAGGCTGCAGGAGCATCATCCATTAACGCCGTGCTATACATCTTTCCATAGCAGCACACCAACTGATACGGGGAGCCCTAATATATAACCCGGTGTCAGCCTAAAGCCCTAGCCAGCATCCCGAACAGATGCTGCCCAGAACTACAGCTGCAACGGGCAAATATCAGTTACACATCTCCGTAGGCTCTGCGCAGGCAGGAAGGAGAGATCTGCTTTACTCATCATCATTTATAAAAATCAATATATTCGCCTTTGGCTGCTGTGTACCAGAACCATATTAGCTGTCAGTGCCACATACACAGCAGCACCACTTCACGTTTAAATGCATTGTTCCATAAAATAAAACCCGAGCAAGAGAAAGGTACCATCCATTAAAATATATCAGAGCAAACTGCTGCTGGAATAGAAATGTTAGCAACAATGCCTGAGTTAAGAAACACATGAAAACGTAAATCCAGCAACACTAAATTCTGATCTGAATGATATTTAAATTATGTTTCTCTTTGAAGTCGTTTAGGGTACTTCAGCAGGCCCTTCACACACTCTCCAAGAACAGCCAGAAAAGCAGAATATTATGGTGAGTGGAGGCAGTAACGATGCCTGCAACTGATTTGCTGTGAATTATTTCTGAGAACCATGCATCTACATTGTAGCTTTATCAAATAGTGGGCAACTACTTATTTGGCAAAGGGAACCCGAATCAGTGGTTACTACAGCCAATTCCCACAGCTCGTTTACCGTCATGCTTTGGTTTTCCCTGTTGAATTTGAGGCTTCACCCTACTCTCACAAATGCCTCTGAGAAACTCATGATGATTTCAAAGGTACTGCAGCCTATGAACCTTTGGAAAGGAATCCCTCACTGTACTCATCTGCAAAGTACCACCTGTAGAGGAGTCCATAATTAACATCTTCTCTGTTAATACCATCATCAAGTAGTACTTATAACCAACTGGAACTCCGTGAAGAAGCTGAAATGACAGTGTTCCTGCTATTAGAACCACACAAAGGCCACAGTCACAGGATTCGTGCCAAGGTCCCTCCACCATGGATGTCTGCCATGAGTGTAGCTCCACATTTGGTTGCTGCAGCAAAACTCAGCTCAGGACTGGGGCTGCAGGAAATAAACCATGCGCTCGGAGCAACTTGAATGCAAATGCTTCATTGACATGCCTGCTCTGGGACGAGATTCAGAAGACCCTTGGGTCCCTACTAAGCTATTCAAGTGACAGAGAAGGACTGGGCAAAACTTGGCTTCCTTATGACACCGTTTTTAAGATTTTCCCGGTTGCTTAGCTGCCGCAGGTTCATAAAACAGTATCTCCAGCGTTTAAATTGTACATGTCCATGTCCTGAACTGTACGAGCTAGCTCTCTAGCTAGCTGTAAAACGGAGTTATCATCTTTGAGGACCAGGAGGTGGCCCATAGACTGAGCTGAGCTTGGGCTTGACTGTGGTTCTAGTAGCCTTCATGTAGTTTGGCACCTACAGCACTTACAGAAGAGCCGAGGTCTGCTCCGACAGGGCACGGATGTTTCCAGTCTTCCTCTGCAGAAGCCCAGCTCTGATTTAGGACATGAAGTAACTGGTTGCTCCTTACATGCACTGGGAACCACCAGCTTTTAAACCACTCTTTAGGATTTACCTAAGTATTTCAGGATCAGGAGCGGAATACGAGACATATCTTTACTCACAGACGTCCCTTTGCAGACTATGCAATGTAAGAGCTCAGGACATAAAAACCTTCAGGCATTATACAGGATGAGCTGCTCTCTTAGCAATCTAAAAGCCATAAAGAAGTTACAACTTGTTTTTGCACACGTAGCTCTGTTTATTTTAGTAAGTGATTGAACACTCAAAAAAATAATTTCAGTCCATTCAGCTATATGTGCATTAACATTCCAAAATGGATTTTGAAGAAAAAAAAAAATTTGGAATTAATAGTATTCCTAGTGTGTTGTTGTTAAAACACTGTCTATGAATTATTCATTTCTGTTAAGAAAGCACTACTTTACAAAAGGTCTAAAAGCTCAGCAAAGAAAGAACATCACTAACCCAAATATTAAGCTTTTTCTGTAACATGCTTTGATCTCAGAAATCTATCTGAAGGAGTCACTTTATGGAAGTTAAGAGCTTTTTTCTTTTTGACCTTAAGTGAATTTGATTCAAATATACATTACGGCTCTCGAACCTGAAAGACCATTAGCTGTACATCTAATGCACATCAGAAGCCTGGGAAATAATGTCACAAGCTTATTTTGAATAAAAGCTTCAACGCATTTCCTCATGTCAATACTCAAAGGGTTTTTCAAAACATGTAAAGTCAAAAAAAAGGTCCTCATCCTTTCAGTTTTTGTATGCTAGTGAACCTTACTGGCTATAAAAAACCTCGCTGCAGTTACTGGAGTCATACAAGTATTAAGGGACCTGTGGATACAGGATGGAGAGAGAGAGGCATATACTAAATGATGAAATTTAGTTTTCAGTGTTTTTTCTTCAGTGGCATGTAACTATGTTACTAAAAGTAACTTCACCAGAGGATTTGTATTTAGTTATTCATCCATTTTTTAAGAATCCTGTAACTCTCCTCAGCTCTTTGCTAGCTCTACTTACTTCTCCTGACTCTGGGGTTAGTGCTTCCTCTGACTGAATTCTGAGAGTCTGAGTTAATTAATCAAATAACCCTCCAGCCATCTGTCCGTTTGGTTTCCTAAACTGCATTTTTAACTTTCAAGTACTTTGAAAACAGCCCGCTCTGTTCAAAAAACCCAACACCCCATGACCTTGAGAGTGCCCAGACACCAGCCACGAAGGG